TTCCCTGCCCTCCATCTCCCTGCACTCTGTCCCCAAATCGATTTTAAGTTCGTGAGATTATACAAGTTTACACATTCTCACATGCTCATTAGTGGTTTCTGAAAAGCATTACTTCACTTACCATTTTGAGCACACCTAATACCAGGGTTGTGACTTATTAATTGCAAATAACTACTGTGAGCTTGCTTTCACTTGTTCTTTCCCAAATAAAATATATGGCCTGATCATAGGAACTGTTAACCCAGGAAATCAGTTTATTTAAATAGTTTTTTGGTTCTGAATTTAGATGTTACAGAACATTGGCAAGCCTGGTACTAAAAGAGTGGAAAAAGAATAAAGGCCTTTCTTGTGTATCTTCACAACAGTAACACTTGGACTCTGAGTCACTGAGGCATGCCTGCCAGAACGTGTACAGGGTTCTTTAAACTTTGTAGAACAGCCGCCTGAAGAATGCACTGGTACAAAGGAGTTTGAGGATTGTTTGTAACCTTTAAGTAAAAAGTTTACCTCACCAGTAATGTAAAATGTGGTTAAAACTGCATGGTAGTTCAAAGAATTATTTGACCTAAGCATTTGGCTTTTGAGCAATGCCAAGGTAGGCTGTGTGGCACCATATGCTTTGAAATAACTACTTTGTCTTAGAGTTTGAAAGTGAAATTAGTTATTTGACCAGTTTAAAAAGTATATAAGGTTTAAAGTTCATCGATTTTCATAAGGGAAAATAATGTATTCATTTTATTCCCATAAGACAGTTACTGTTTTTTGTTGTTGTTGTTTCCAAATTAAATTCTTTCTCTCTGTGGGTTCTAAAACTTATGTTTCATTCTATCAGTTAGGTTTTCTAGCCACTGTGTCCTGTGTTGGCCAGAGCAAGGGGATCATGTCAGATAGAATAGTTTCTGTATCCTGGCTTTAGTGTGTACCAGTTTCATGGTCTTAGGCAACTTACTTGGCCATTCTTGGCCCGTTTCCTCATCCTTGGAATGTGAGGGCATGATAAGAACCAGCCTACAGGGTTGTGAGTAAAGGGAATGTCTGTAAAGTCCTAATCACAGTGGGTACAGCCATGTAGTACTGTTACTTATTCAGCAAAAAAGGTGCTGTTCATTCAGCCAGTTTTTTTAGGGGGCCTGCCTCATTCTAGGTACAGAAGCTGTGAAGATGAAAACGACTCCATCCTGCCCCCAAAAGCTTACAGTTGTGTGTATCTCTAGGACTTATGTTCTCCTACCCTAGGTTTCATTGGTGTGAGTGAGACTGGATCTAAGAGATTTGACTCTCTTTTAGTAGGTATCTCAGTGCTCACCTAGATGTGCTATAATTAATTTTGTCATTCTTCACATTCAGTGACCATTTCTTACATTTATAGTATGTGAAGTATAGTATAGTATGGTATACTAATGTGCTTGGCCTTAAATATAATTGTAGGACAAGTAGAGGGTTTTAGCAGCTGATTCCTTTAAAATTTTTTCCTTATCTCTAAAAATGTTTATCTGTCATCAGGGTACATTTTACCCAACTACATAGATTCTTTTTTTTTTTCTTTTTTTCTTCTTTTTTTAATCCTAATGGCATTTATGATGAATTTTCTATGTTAGCAAAACTTAGTTTGGGTTTTTAAGTAACATTTTTTTTCTTACCAGATGCAGCACATGTTTGTTATTAAAAAAAAAATTTAGAGCATATCTTTCTTCCACTGAGAGCATGCTGGTTTATATAGTAAGCTACCCATCTCTGATGATACAATAAATTATATTTTCTAGAAGATTCTGCGGTTACTGTTGGTTGGGTTGGCAGACACTGACAATATACTATATCTGTTGATTCTCATGTCAAATAAATTGTACCCATGAATTTGATTAAATAAAGTACCACATGTAAATTCCTAGTATGTCCTACATAAGTGATAGATTTTGTTTGTTCCTTTTGGTTTATCATTGCTTTATGATTGATTATTTCTTTGGAGATATCTTTAGCAATCCTTCTTCAGAGATCACTGTCTTTAGGTCCTGAATAAGTATCATACCTGCAAGCTTACTTTGTTATTGTTTACCTGAAGGAGAAATTTTTAGAATCTGGAACAGCATTTTTATGGTCCTTTTTATTCCTTAACTGCCAGTAGAGATAAAGTCAGAACATATCCTTTCTGACTTACTGAACATATCTTACTTTCTGGCTGACCTTAGGTGAATGTATTCATGGAAGCTAGGCATTCGGTAGCTAGGCATACTTACAGGGTATTTAGTCCTCTGCTCACAACAGGAGCATGATTGGATTATATGGTGTTTGATGTTTCAGGAAATTAAGGCAAATTAGTTTTATATAAAACAAACTCAATGACTAGGAAACAAAGAGGTCCATTTACTGTGGTTTTGTTGTTGTTGATTAACATTGAATACACTTTGTCAGATTTTTTTCCCTTACATTTATTCACAGATATGTTTTTATCTTTTGTTTGTGTGTACCCCAGCCAAGCCGCCAGTCAGCAGTAAACCTGTCGAGTGACTTTCTCTTCTTTACCATTATGATTGCTACTGCCAAGTCCTGTGCCTGAACACTATGTTTCTTGGCCTTACTAAAATATGAATTTAGCTTTCATTAGATAAATATTGAGTAAGACCTATATTTACAGATAGCTAACAGTTTTCATATTTTTTTTTTTAGAAACTTATCACAGGATGTTTTTAGAACATTTATTGGTGAAAAGACTTCCTTGGCAGAATTACAGTGTTGCATATAGGTGGAAATTATGAAAGAGCCAAGTTTTATCATTTATTTTCATTACAAAATACAATGATTTTATCAAGGATTCCCAAAATAAAACAATGGCAGGTAGTGGGTTTGCGGTAAAAATTATTGAAGAGGTATTTTTAGAAACACCAAAGGTTTGTAACCTCTAATATAATTTGCTTTTTGGAGCATCAGTAATACTCAAGCAGACTTCTTTTTTTCCCACTTTCACTTAAGCATTTCCTCAAATAGTCATGCTCATAAATTTGGGGGGAAGAGGGAGGGAGCAATTACTGATTCATTTCTTTAATATTTGGGTATCTCCATGGAAGAAGATAAAGGGAATGAGAGAGGAAAGGGGCCAAGAATTGAGTGAATATGTACAGATTGGAAAATGTTTGCTTTTAATATTTCAGTTCATCATAAACCAGACTGCCTAGAGATAAGTATTAATATAACTTTGAGCAAGTGAACTAAATTTTTATTTTCACCAGAATGTTAGCAGTAAGGTTAAACATATCTTTTAGACAACAGTATTATTTTTATTTCTACTCTTTCCATTGACCATTGTTTAAACAGACAAAAGAGAATATTTTTGTGTATATGAAAAATAATGTTCAATATTAATAATGTTTTTTGGACAAAAATATAAGTGAGCTCTTTAGTGATAGTTGCCTTAATAAATTCATACATCTTACTATATATTCATATATAGCATTTTTTAAGTGTCTGACACTTTTAAGAATTTTGCAAGTATTTATCAAATATTAACTCATTTAATGGTTAATCATTTATCTCACTTGTTAGAGACTATAGAAAGAGATAATTTGAGTGCCTTGTGTATCTGTCCTCTCCCTTCTTTTCTTTTCTCTTTCTTTTTCCTGTTTCTTTTCCCTTTCTGTTCCTTTTTCTTTTTCTTTTTTTTTTCTTTCACGTGGACCTCGAGACTTTAGTCTTGGGGCTGGCCACAAATCCCAGTCTCGTGGTAGTTCTGCTTTTTATGCTCAGATGTGCGAAAGATTAGTTTTAAGGAGCTTGGACTGAACTAGTTTCTGTGTTATAATTGTAAAACTTCCATTTCCAGGAAATAAAGCATTCGATGAATAAATAAAACCTATACCTAGTCCATCCTCCCCATTTTTTTTAATCATTAAGCATATTTTCTATTTATATGCTAAAAGAAGTCGTTAGACATTATTTTAAATTCGACATGTCTCTGTCCTATCCAGCATGCTTGAAGATGACCTTCAGCTCAGTGACAGTGAGGACAGTGAGAGCGAACAAGTAAGTTTTGTACACCTCATAATACCAGGAATCCTTTTAAATCTAACATTTCTGAACTGCTTATCCTAACCTGTTTTTTGTTTTTTGTTTCCTGCTCCTTCCTTACTGTGAATGCCTAGACCCCAGAGAAGCCTCTTTCTGCATCTGCACCTCCAAAAAGGTAGTGTGTGTGGGTTTCTCCCCCATTTATACAAAACATTTTGCATTTTTCTACCAAAGGGGAAAATTCCAACCTTATTTAGTACTTTCATAGCTTCTTCATGGGGAAGGAGATGGAGGGTCACACAGTTAAAAGAAAGCACCTGTGTAATGTCTTGGAAGCTGCAGTCAACCTTAGAGAGGATGTTCACTCCATAAAAGAGAAAGCGCCCTGCACCCACCTAAATCATCAGTTTGGGCGATTAAAATTTTTGAGAGTTTAAAATAAGCTTAAACTCCTTTCATCAGTATTATGTAACCAGTATTTGAGAAGTTACCCTGAAGAGCCCAATGTTTTTAAAGTGACAAATTTGCTGTGTTTTCAAAAATTGGAGAACTGGATTTTCCATAGTGCCTGTTTTCTTAGTCATACGAATTTTCTAATTGTTTCAGTTGCTTTTAAAAATGACTCGCAGTACATTTTAGTGTGATAGAAAATTACTGTTTTCACTCTGTAAACAGTTAGCCATATTTTAAAAAAATTTTGGAAATGGGAACTATCTGAACTACCTTTATAATATTTCCCTCTGGTCCTGGATTTTATGATTTATTATGCCAGTACCTGACTTCCATGGAGAAAGAAGTGTTAACCCATTTCCCGTTTGCCCCAAGAATACTCACCAGCAGCACTTGTGGTGGCAGCGTTTACCCTGAGATAACTTGTGGATTATAGTTATAACCTTACCCCCAAAGTTTGCCACAAAATATCTCGCTTTTATTATTATTTTCACATCACTCTAGTATTTCAATAGTCTTTGGAAAGAAATGACATCATCCTATTTATAGCATTCTTCTTTTAGTAGTAGTATTTCCATTTACAAAATATAGTAATTCTCAATAGATGAAAATGTCAAATCCTAGAAAATGTAGCATTCCTATGCATGATGTTAACATTGTTCTCGAATAGTTAGCCAAAGATTCATTTAATGAATCCGATTTATGTATACATGTCTGTTACATTAGGATTAGAGACAAGTTCTGGTTAGAAATAACTCCAAGAACAGTTTTTATATTTTATTTTCACATTGAAAACCAGTTAGATTTGCTTCAGCCTCAGAGAGTAAGTTTATGTAAAATTAAATTAATGCTGGCAGTGAGCTGTGCTTTTTTTTTTCCCAAACAGAAAATGGGTTAAATTACTTCATAGCTGTTTTACTCCCTTGAAATGTGGTCATCCATTTCGAGACAAGCTCAGCAATAAAAAAGCTTCCCCCCATACATGTGATACTATAGTTAGTGTGGAGGAAGCTTGTATAATTATGCAAGGTCTTATGGAGTCAAAATTTCTGCTCATTTATTTATATCCCATTTCGTTCAGTAATTTCTGGTGGCTTATAATGACCCATAAAATATGACAAAGTAGCCTAACTTAAAAGTGAAAAATAAAATTTTTTTTGAAGTGGGGATAAATCAAGAGGAGAAGCAGCACTGAAAGTGTATCTCATTCTGGTCATCACTGGCTTAAGCTCTGCAGCTACCAATGTGAAAATGATCACAAACTTAACGTAGCATTTTATATGAGGGAACTATGTGATAGTGTGTTTGTTTTAAAATGACCTCAACTAGTGGTTTTATTATCTAATAATGTTTTATTCTACTTATTCTAATATAATTGTATTTAATAGATTTATTATTTACTATTTTAGGTAGATTTGGAGGCATTCAGGATTATGGTTATTGCTTTATTACTTTGGTTAATTCCATTGAGGGCAAAGTTTTAAGATATGCTTTGAAATTCTGTGTATGTCCATCAACGTGCTGAATGTGTGTTTTCTCACTGACCTAGAGTTATCACCCTATTCTTAAAACTTGCAGTAGTTAATCTCTACTTCAGCTGATATTTGAGGATCCTAAGCCACTCATAAGAATGGCCCGTTTTATAATTCTGCCCAGGAGTGTGACTGGATTGCCTTTGAGGTCACTTTCCAGAAGAACACCATTTATGTTCAGTAGTCTTTGGCTATCATACAGTTAGTTCTTATATAGAGAATAGAGGGAGATTTTTAATGTATTGGCTGTTTTTTTTAAAATTATCTTCGGGTTATCTATAGTAGAAGTCAGCAAACTTTTAAAGAGTCAGAAAGTAAATATTTTAGGCTCTGTAGGACATAGTGTTGGTGTTAAAACTAGTTAACTCTGGTTTTGTAGTATAAAAGCAGCCATAGACAATACATGAAATAACGGGTATGGATATGTTTCAATAAAACTTTATTTAGAAAAACAGGCAGCTGTTCCAGGCCATGGTTTACCAACCCCTAATATAAAGCACCCAGCATCTGTACAGTTCAAAATATTCTTTATGAACAAAATTCCATGGACTTCTCCTTTATGTAATTACCTGGTGAGCTTAAATTTTAAGGGTTTTTTGCTGATTTTTGAGCAACCGTGGGCCTCTCTCTCAACTGGGTGACATGATAATTTAGTAATATTAGGTAATAGTGAGGCCTTTCCTTTCAAGCAGCAGAAACGTGGGCAAAGCAGGAAACGAGTAAAGAGGGAAGAAATCCACCTTGCGTGGTGTCTTCAAATGGTCTCTGTCGGTTGCTTCACAGCGCTCCGCAGTCACTTCCAGAAGCCGTGGCCTCAGCACATTCCAGTGGTGCGGAGTCAGAGAGCACCAGTGACTCAGACAGCTCCTCGGACTCCGAGAGCGAGAGCAGCTCAAGTGACAGTGAAGAGAACGAGCCCCGTGAAACTCCGGCTCCTGAGGTACCGGGTCCCCTCCAGGAGGCAATCTAAGATGGCAGCATTCTGGCTTTTGGGGCTAGTGTCCCGTTGTGCGCCAGACCATGGGGCTGAGTAGTTTTGTCCCCCGGGGCAATGCTTTTCTGCTCCTACCCTGTGTAGAACCAGCTGTTTCTATTTACTTATTTCTTACCAGACATTTGGCAGTGGAGGTTTGGGAGAGAAGTCTTCCCTCTCCTGTTTAAAATGATAGGTTCTTCTCTGTGTTGCTAGTGTTGTCTCGAAGAGCAGCTCATTAAGAACGTTTGCACACCATTTCCTTTTCCCTGCTTTTGAAAAAGTAAACTCTTTTTTAGTAGGCTGCTGTTTTAGTATTAATGAGAATTCTCTTTGAAATTTCAGGAATGCATGAATTAAGGAAATCAAAAGGAGACAGCCTGATTTAGCAAAGGGCAGGAATGTGAACTAGAAATAAGTCATCAGAGGTTCTATTTTTGAATCACTAAAAGCCATGCATTAAATTGATGGCGAAGTGATTTGCCAGGGCTGTGGTTCTTACACCCTCTGCCCCATGTAAAACAGGGATAATTGCGTTTGCCTGTTACCTGCCCTTGGGAGATATTGTAAAGGTAAACAGATGAGATCGAAAATCTCAAGCACTACATATATCTAGAAGATTTATGCTACTTACTAGATTGTCAAGCACAAGAAATTTAGTAACGACTAATAAGGTTACCAAATGCCCTCAAAACTTGTCATAGCAATGTAAGAATTATGCTGAAGAAGGGATACTTAGTGAAAAGAGAAGGCGTTTTCGCTGAACTAGACCAGCTTGGATAGAGAAAATTATTCTGCATATTTAAGATAGGAATGCTGGGAAATGAGATGTTCTGATTTAAAAACTGTTAAAGTTTTCAGTACTTGTCTCTGCTGTTTAGAAAGCAAGGCAGTTCCACTGTAATATTAACCGAATCCATCTGGAGATCATGTAGTGAGACGTAAGAGCCATGTCTGAGAGCAAGAGAGGCTGAGAAAATAAGTGTCATTTTTTGTTAGCTGTGAGTTTATGTTTGGTGCAGAGTAAGTGCTCAATAATTTTTTTTTTTTTTGAGTGAAAAAACATAGACCAACATTAACTGTACTTGACGCACCTTTTAGATTTTAGAAACTACTCTCTGTGTTTCTAGGAGTTCTCTGTGTGATACTAATTGCTGTTGAAATTATTTTTCTGTGCCTCAGGAAAAAAGATACTGAATATGCTCTGCAGACAAATTATGTGATTATTCACTGTTAATGTTTATAAGATATTTGCTTTGTATCTCACCTTATTCAGTAAAAAAAAAAAAAAAAAAAACTGCATGCTTGTAGGTTCCTACTAGAAGGAAGAGAATTCAGTTAAATAGCAAACTTCAATTAAAATAAAATGGAAATGGCACAGATTTGGCTGAATAGTTGAAACTTACAAGAAAGATTTAATCTGATGTTTGATTTAATGAAACAATTATATCTCATTGCTGAAGAGGTTACTGGAATAGAGTTATACTCATATAAAAAAGTAAATGTTGCTATACTACTTTATTTTTTTAATGCCTTACTAAAAAGGCGTATATTGGTACCTTTGCATTGCTGTGCAAATCTAGACCTGGATCCAGTTTATATGTTGTATACTGAGGTTCAACTTCCCCAGAAATATTTTGTCTTTGTCTAAATCTTAAACCTTTAATTTTCCCCAAGGTATTTAACTACTTTTCTTTCCTTTTAAAATAAATACCTGCATTATTGTAAATCTCCTGTGTTGTGAATTAACGCGAATTCCATACATAATTGGCCATAGTTTCTAGTTATAAATTTCTCACCCTTTATTCTATTTTTAATGCTGAGAAATTTGCTTTTTATGGCTCCATTTTAAATTCATTTGACAAAATAGTTTAGTGATCATAAGAGAATTTGAAATGTTATATGCACACCAAATGAACTGGTGGTGAATTTGGGGAAAAGCAGATTTCAGCGTTTGCTTTATAGTGGGGATCAAAATGTGAACCTCAGCGTTTCAAAATATGTGGAGCACCTCACCATTTTACTGCTTGAGTAAAGTTTAGGAAAAAAATTATTCTGTTCTCGGTTATTCAGGGATTTGCTTAGTTTTCTAATAATTCATTGTCCATTTCTTTGGTGGTAAACCACCTTGGCTGATTGCCCATGAGGCTCTTGGTACTTTTTCATAAATTATTTGATTTAACCCTTGCCAAGTCCTAAAAGGTTGGTAGCTTTCTTTTCACCTGGAAGGAAAGTAGCAACACTGAAGATTCAAACCCGCAGCCCTCGAATGCTGAAGCCTTTTTATTTTCTACTATACCATGTTGCTTCTCTCCTTCCTTTTTTCTTTTCCTTTTTTCTTAATTTTTAGATTCATATTTTACTAGAAAAGTAGGCATTGTGCATAGCTCAAAACTTTTTATTCAAAATCATAATTCATCTAAAATATATGAACTTTTGCCAGTTTGAGAAGTTAGGAGAGGTAAAGGGACATGTCAGACATTTATTAAAATACTTAAGAAAATTAATCATATTTTTTCACTTCTAATATGCAGTGTTTGACTTGCTTCAGCACTGGCATGCTGGGGAGTTGGGGCACGAGAAAAGGCAGAAAAAAAGTTCAAATCTTGATCCTATCGAAATTTTATTTTAAAAATCTATTTTTAATCAATCCATCATGTAAAAGGTCCCACTATCCCAACACCTAGATAATAATCTAATCTTAAAGGACTTCTATCCATTGTACATCTTTATAAGCAGGTAGACAGAAAGAATTGCCCCTACACATTCCCCTCCATCGAGGCACACCAGCTCAATTTTACCCTGCAGCTGGGCCATACACCTCCCTTCTGGACATTCTTAGGACTGCAGTGGAAGAAAAAGTGTTTTCTGTAACCAGGACATTCCTTTAGGGACTACTAAATGTATCTTATACTGCCGTTTTGGGAGGGGAAAAAGGCAGACGCTGCCTATACCAGGAATGGCTTTTTCTTTTTGGTTCGCACGTAAATACATACTCCTCTATAGAGCATGTCAGTGACTGGAGTGCAGTTGTAAGCATCGCCTTGGTGAGGTATATCCATACCTTTCTGGAGAAGGAGTTTTGTTCCTGAGGTGATTGGCGCATGATACAGCCTAATTTGTTGTCCCCAGTTAACCACTAGTATTACCACACCTTTAAGTCTTTGCAGGAAATGTCTGACAAGTAGGTGTTATATGCTAATCTTTTCTCTACCCTTAACAATCATCCTGTCTTGTTAGAATATTGAATACATTTAGATTACATGTGACAAAATGCCTAGCACTTAGGAGTAGTTTCCTTCTTCCTTCTCTCCCTGCTCTGAAATTCAAATCTGAGCCTGGGTATAGAGTTGATATAAGTAAAGGGAGCTGTAAGAGGGATATGTTATCCTAAGCAGCAATATAGGGTAAGCAGAAAAAATGTTGATGTAGCTATCTTTCTGGCCAAAGTATGGTCCTGTCTAGTTCCTTAAAATTTCTCTTAGTTCTGTTCGGTTTCAGTTGCACTAAGTCCAAACTACCTACCTGATCTTTTTATTATCTAATCTTGTCCTAGCCAGAAATTCTTTACATTATATCCACATATCTTGCATGTATTAAGTTTGCATGTTTTTATAGAGTTGAATGATTTGGCATATTCCACTTGAGAAAATTGTTAGCAATCCTCTTTGTAAAATATTGTCCACCTCCGGGAGCGATCTCCTGATCCATAATCTAATCAGTTAAGTCCCGCATGGAATACAAACCACCTGTCAGAATGACTAAATCATATGCTCAGTGCCCTAGGAAGTTAATTGAAAGAGATTCCACACTAGATTCAACTGATCAGATTATGGATAAGGATCTTAAGGAAAACATGTAGCATGCCAATGATGTACTTCCCTTTAAAAAAGTAATCATTGTTTACTCTGTTAGACACTAATATTTTTCTCTATGGCATAATATTTATAGGGACAGTAATACACCTATAGGAATGCTCAAATAAATAAGTACACCACTGTATGCAAGAGATAATAGTGGAATTTGGAGATACAGAGGTTTCTGTCATTCTGTTTATAAGATCAAATAGCCTAGTTGGAGAGAGATTATTAGATGCATCACTCATCAGTTAGCAACAAAGATTTAAACAACAGTAGGGGATGCCAGGAGATGTCAGGAATTTCTCTTTATTTGCCACATCAGTTGCACAGATAATCAGTATAGTCTCACTGCTCTGAATTGTGTGCTCTGCAGCCTCCCTCTGTGTCTTAGGGAAAATAGGTGTTATATCAGACCAGCTTGTCTTAACGAGAGACTTAATGCTTGATTTTTAAAGAATTGAAGTGGGACTAATGCTCGGCTAATGTGACCTCATTTTAGTCTTTCTATCAAGGTATAAAATTTGAAAATTAGAATGTATCTGTGATACACTGAAAACCTTGTCACATGTAAATAATTATGATGTTTTAAGTAAATAAGAGAATTGATCTCAAATCTTGAAGAAAGTAATTTTCAGTTGATAAGTATGGTAGAGGACAGAGCATGAAACCTATAGATAACCACCAAGACTTAGTTTACTCGTTAGCCTTCTTCGAAAATCCTTGGTAAAAGGACTCTTTTTAGTTTTCATTTCTCTCTATTTTCTGATCATTTACATGCCAAAATGTGTCAGTTCTGTTTAAATTAATACTGTAATTACCATTAGAACAAAATATTTGTGTTACAAGGATTTCCCAGCAGTTTTCAGTGGTCTTACACTGATCAATATTTAATGGTCTTTTATTAGTCAATAGCTGCCACAGCAAAATTCCCATAGCACAAAAAAAATTGGAAGATTGTTTTAAGAGTTAATTGTTATAAAATTTTATCTATAATTAGAGGAGGGTAAAAATGACCTGCATTCTTAGGTTTGGAATGATTGCATCTCCCCTGGACGGTCTATAGAGTGGGCGAGTAACACAAGAGAAGAGTCGATCGTCATTGGTCAGTTAACACTTTTCTCTTGTTCCTTTTTCAGCCCGAGCCTCCTACAACAAACAAATGGCAGCTGGACAACTGGCTGACCAAAGTCAGCCAGCCGGCCGCCCCACCAGAGGCCCTGGGGAGCGTAGAGCCTCCGCCTCGGCACCCAGCCGGGAAGGGCAAGGGCAGCGACAGTGGCACCACTAGTCACGAGCAATTAGAATCCAAAGATCCTCCCTCCAAAAGTTCAAGCAAATCCCCCAGGGTCCCTCCCGAAGGCCCCCAGCCTGGCAAGAGGAGCTGTCAAAAGTCCCCTGCCCAACAGGAGCCACTGCAGAGGCAAACCATTGGAACCAAACAGCCCAAAAAACCTGTCAAGGCCTCTGCCCCGGCAGACTCTCGGGCCAGCTTGCAAGTGGAGAGCGAGCCGGGACTTACTCCGCACAGCTCCAAGGACCAGCCTTCCAAAGACAAGCCCAAGGTGAAGACGAAAGGGAGGCCCCGTGCTGGAGGCAGCAGAGAGCCCAAGCCAGCGGCGCCCACGCCCAGCGAGAGGAAGAAGCACAGGGGCGGGCCCCCGGCCCCCTCGAAGGCACTCTCAGGCCCAGAGCCCACGAAGGACAATGTGGAGGACAAGAGCCCTGAGCACTTTGCCCTCGTTCCCCTGACTCAGAGCCAGGGCCCCCTGCACGGTGGTGGCAGTGGTGGCAGGACTAGTGGCTGTCGCCGCGCTGTGGTAGTGCAGGACCGCCGGAAGGACAAACTCCCGGTGCCTTTGAGAGACACCAAGCTGCTCTCCCCGCTCAGGGACACGCCTCCCCCGCAAAGCTTGATGGTGAAGATAACCCTCGACCTCCTCTCCTGGGTACCCCAGCCACCTGGGAAGGGGAGCCGCCAAAAGAAAACTGAAGACAAACAGCCACCGGCAGGGAAGAAGCTGGATTCTGAGAAGAGAAGCTCAGACAACTCGAGCAAGTTGGCCAAAAAGAGAAAGGTGAGTGAGAGGGGCTGGCTCTCTCTGCAGTGTGGTGCATCCCTGCTGTTGGCTCAGGACTGTCTTTGGCACTTGATCATAGCCCTGAGTTGTCTTAGAAGAAGCGAGATGTCTGTCTGGATTCGATTCAGCCTTTGCTTCTAAACCAGAAGTTACTCTTTCATTGCAGACTTGGATGCTTCCCACTCTGCAGACAGGGATTAACCAAGTGCCAGAATCCTTAAGCAGTCTTGCTAGTTTGAAAAAAGATGAGGCAGTCATTGAAAAGGATATCTTGTTTTAGGATAATGTATCATTTGGGAGTATATTTTTATTTATTTTGTTAACATTGGTATTTACCAATAGATTTTGCCCTAGAATTTAAAACCTTACATGAATCGAAGTGTTAATTAATATTCCGAATTCATGGAAGCTGCCATACGTCAGACTTTACCCCTGTAGTACGAACTTTTTGATACTGATATTACATCTGTATTTTAACCCATGGGCGCCGAATACCTCATCAGTTTGAACCCGCCAGATTTAGAATTTGTGACCTTTATTTTTTTTATGTAGCCAAACTTTTTTTAATTAGTTTTTATTTTTCAATTACAGATGACATTTTATATGTTTCAAGTGTACAACATGGCGATTAGACATTTATATAACTTACGAAGTGATCACCCCGATAAATCGTGTACCCATCTGACACCATATGGCCGCCATTGACTTTTATTAATAAGCAGAACATTATAAAAGTGTTAGATAGCTGTTGAACTTATGGTCAGGACATCTTGTGTTGATTAATATAGGCTAGTATGGTACACTGTAAAGTATTGAAAAGCTGTCATTTTATTAATTGCAATTTTTGGAAGTTTCATTTAAGGAATGAACATAGTAAAAAAGAAAAACTATATCCCTGCATTACTTAAGACCTCCAGTTCCATGGACATAATCACTATTTTGGACAGCCTCCTTCCTGCCTTTATTCTGAGTCACTGAGCTTCTGACAGATGTTTTGCTGCTGCTTGATGGTGAAAGATTAGTGAGTTTTTTCCCCAGTGACATTCCTAAGCCAACCTCCCCAAGATTCAGAGTCAAAGGCACAAGAAGAGCCAACTCTTTCCTTTTGAAGGAGTAAAGATTTTAACACGCTTATAAGTACACAAAAAACTTCTTACTCAGTTGTGGAAGTTGAGCTAAGAATAACAAAGGACAAAAAGATCATGATGCCTGCTGTCATGTCAGATTCAACTGATTACTCCACTTGGTTAAAAATATAACATGACTCTACTAAATAGTAAACGGTGACTCTTTTCTTCAGAACTTTGTCGAATGAGATATGAGGGTATTGCCACCGTAACTGCAGCGGGGGCAAGTCAAGTGGGGTGGGTTCAAGCACTTTTTTAGCTAGAAGAGGGTATATTTTTTCTCATGCGAGAAAACTACTAAAACCGTGTTTGTGAGTTAAAGGTGTAAAACTTAATGGAGGAAATTGTGATGGACCTGGCTAGGATAACGGTACCTAGTGTACCTGAAAAGACTTAACAAATACACTCATTTACCTCCTCGTCCTCCTCCTGGGAACTCTTTTATCACCTGTCCCCCCAGCTACCATGGTCTTGTCTAGTCTCCAACGTGCACCTTCTGCATTAGCTGGAATGAGGGGAAGTATTAGTTTCTAAAAATGCTTACTAACCAGGTGGCAGTGTTAGAAATCAGAGGCTCCCCCAGACAGTTCTCAGCCCAGTCCACACTTTAATGCAGATCTAGAAGTGTCGCTTGTGGCTCCCGAAAGGGAAACTCAGCCCTCCCTGTCGAGTACATGAATTGCGCCCTCCAAAAGCCATTCCCAGCCAGTGGCTGGGCTCCACTAGGGCCTCTCATTTGTCTTTCAGTTTAGAGGATGGAAAAATAATGACCCCCGCATATCAGCCAAGTGTGCTTTCTTTAAAGCCCTGGAAGCAGCTGAGAGCTCTGGCCCTGGGAACAGTCTGCCTCTGCCGCAGCACTGACAGGGTCAGGGTCCGAGGCAGTGGCGCCAAACCCTGGCTGCACACTGTGGTCACCTGGGGAGCCTTCAGTACTGGTGACAGGCTGCACGCCCCCACACTCCCACCTCCATAGGTATTCTTAAAATTCTGTTAATCCGGACACCTAGGGCGGCTGGGAGCCCCTGCAGCAGAGCCTTGTACAGGGCCAAGATTGTACAAAGCTGTTTCTTTGGATCGAAAAATTCTTCCAGTGTGCTGCATGGATCTAGGAAACCAGGAATTCTTGAAGTATGTCATAAGTTAGAAACATTACTTAGAAGCTTTCTGATAAATATAAAAATTGGTCCACTGTATAGTTATTTCGTGATCAGAGAACCATGCGTCATTTGGTTTCACTTCCTGCTGGGTTCCAGGTATTGTTAGCATTGAGCATTGTGATCCTCAGACCCTTCCCTGCGTGGAGCAGGTTTCCCCCTTTGCTGTCATGACCCTGACTCTGTTTGGTCAGGGTGCCAAGCTGTCCCCGTGGGCAGCCCAGCACGTAGGCCTGGAACCCGAGGCAGTGCTATTCTCTCTTTAAGCTTGGGTGCCTTTCCTCAAATCTGGTAGTGGAGACTTACTCATATTCTTCATTTTAAGTGGAATCACTAGAAGAAGCTCTCTGAGGATTTAGTGAGAACAGTTGAAGAAGTATACCTGATCTTTTACATTAGTGGAATTTAGTGTTTTTATTGAAAAGCCTTTTATGGTCTGTCCCTCCCCTGAAGCAAAATTTAGGAAATATTTTCAGAGGATAAACATCCTTGAAGCCATTTTAGACTTAAAAGGGTGAAAAGGTAATCATAAAGAGTTCATGGTGGTTAACAGCTGTGATGAAGCCGTCAGATGTGGCACCTATAGAAATGTACATATATATATATATATATATACATATAATTTTACTATAAAGGAGTGGGTAGGGAACAGTTAGTTCATGGGGAAAAGTAGAGAAAATTGTGAGGGTAAAAAGGCATGAACCCACAGTGCTTTTTACATAAACTATGTAAGTTCATCATCCTGATTATAGTTTCTAATTTAAAGTACAACTTATTTTTTTAAATAATTTTTATACCTAAATTGTTTTCTAGATTTGAAAGAAAAATTGAAGTTGAGAAGCACAATAACATATATGGTCAGGCTGGTGCCATTGAGAGGGCTTAAAATGCACCTAATATGCGAAGCGTAGTTCTGGCCACCTCTATAAAGATCTCATTTAATTCTATCATTTAAAGATTGCTATTCAAAAAAAAAAAAAAAAGCTAGACTATCTTAATAGTCATTTAGATAAATAACAGGACAGGGAGGAACATTCATTCCTGTCATTTCCTTTTTCTAAATAATCAGCTTACAGACCAAGAAGCTTTGACATTTTTTGGAAACATTTCAGCGCCATCATTTATGTGTATTTTGAGACATGAGAAAGAGAAGTTATGGGATATGGTGAGGAATGTGCATTTTTATTGTTCAAGGATGGTTGTTGGTTCAGTCCTTCCCTTCTATCCAAGATCTGTCTCCAGATCAACATTCCTAGTTATTGTCCTTCAAAATCAAGGGTTTGAAGGACAATAATTTCCCGAAGCCACTTTAATTTCTTCATGCTTGTTAAGTTACCCTAAGAAGAGCATTGTAACCATATGCATGTTAAGGCTGTTTTAAGGCATTCTAATGCCTGTTTTTCCCCTCACCAACAAGAAGAAAAAACGTGGATTAATTTTTTTTTTCTGTAGTACTTATCCCAGTGACTATATTATAGCCTGTCTTCTCAGTAAGTCCTACCCTCATTCTTAATGCTAAGTTGGAGTTGGCATCTGCTGTATCTTTTTTTTAATTAACTGTTTTGGGGTGACATTGGTTAATAAGATTATATAGGTTTCAAGTGTACAGTCAGTTGTATAATACATTATCTGTATATTGCATTGTGTGCTCAGCACCCAAAGTCTAGTCTCTTTCTGTCACCCCGTTACCCTCTTCACCCTCTCCCCACCCTCTTCCTCTCTGGGAACAGACCATACTGTTGTCTGTGTCCACGAGGTTTGTTTGTTTTGTTTGTTGCTTTTTGTTTTATATCCCACATATGAGAGAAATCATATGGTTCTTGTCCTTTTCCTACTCTGTGTTGTCTTCTTATTGAACCGTCCGCAGAGGCACGTCCCAGAGAAGTACCCAGATTTCCCAAAAGGCTGCTTCTCCACTTTTCCTACGCTGTATGTGCTACCAGGCTCATTTCTTCCTGTGGAAGAAGATGACGGAGTCTTAGAATTTGAGTGCCGAGGCCTGCAGGTCACTCGTTCAGCCGCTGCCTTATATGGATGAGATCCAGAAAGGCTCTAACGTCATTTGCTGCTTAGTAAAAGCAGGTTTGGAGCTTAGGTATGCTGATTCCTCCCAGTCCAGTGCCCTTTCTTTTCTGTCACACTTTTTCCCCACCACACAAGAGTCTGGTGGGAGGATTCTTGGAGAGAGTCACACGGTCATAGTTCAAGACCATTGTACTGACTCTGGCAGTTGTGGTATCATCCCTGACTCAGTCTCTGCATTACTGACACCCCAGTGCTGTACCCCCTACCCACTCCTTCTCCACTTCATGTTACCCTTTCAGATGCCTCTCATCTCTCCCCACCACAGCCAGGCTCCTACAAGACTACCTTAACCCCTGTTAGAAACATTATGGCCCCAAATGCGTGTCAGTTCTGAAAAAGCCACCTTTATTTCCCCTTCTCGCTACAGGTACCTAGATGGTAAGCCAGCGCTGGGCGGGCACCAGGCTGCCCTACAGCACTCTCGTCCCGAAACCACCTTGGTCTAGCACAGTCCTTCCTCTTCCTTTTATGGGCTTCATTCTTGCCCTTTGCTCTTCTCCGTGGGTGGAGCGGCATTTGGCATATAATCCCTGGCTGCCTGGCCCGACAGGTTAAGAAAAGCAAACAAGTCAGTTAGGACCAGGTCATCAGCCAGCAGCCTCCTCTTGTAGGTGCAGCACCACTGAGACACTTATCCTTCTGGGAAAAGGGAACTTCCAACACCCAGACCTCCACAAGATGCCCTGATATGGAGCTCAATCTGTGGCTAAGCCACAGGGCAGAGGAGACTTCTTTTTCCTCTAGAAGAGAGAGTTCAACGCTCTCATCTCATTTTCAAATGGCTTCTCGATCCAGAAAAACCTTAACTCCTTCCCTCCTGTTTTCCAGTCTTGAAATTCAAGCCTGCATTTCCTGCTACCCCGTATTGTGAGGCTCCCTCTTCCTGAATCCGTCCACTTAAAGTTGTAGTGCAGTACTGTTTCCAGGGACCTCAGCTGTGCCCCTCAGCTGCTAAACTTAATTTCCATGCCAGTTAACAAATACGTAGTGCCTGCTCTAGGGAAGCCTCTGTTACTGTTCCAGACAGAAGATGACAGGGTTCCAAATACACAGTGTACAAAAATACTAACCTCAAGCCCAGAGGCTTGAGCTCAGTCAAGTGAGCAAAATGAATAGAAGAGGATTTTTGCTTTAGTTGGTTTAATGACTTCCTTTCTGCCAGCTTACAGAATATCATCAGCTTCTAAGTTGCTACATGTCAGTATGAAGCACATTACTCCAGGAAGTGCCAACAAAGTTGTTAATGCTAGCTTTGAAGTCAGTATTTAGTGATTTCTTGGTTTGTTGTTTTTTTTGGGGGGCGGGAGGGCGGGTGAGGGGCTGTTCTCTTGAGTCACGGATTGGCACAAGCCAGGGTTATAACCAGTTTGTAAGGATTGACTCACTATGAATCTTATTTTCATATGTGGTTTAGAAGGTCTGCCACTTTGGTTTAGAGTCATAACTAGCATGTTCTAAGCAGCATGAAAATATACAAACAAAAATTAACTGTCTCGTTCCACCTCTGAGGTCTGGTGTTTTCTTTAGGAAGTAAACTGCAGATGGATTATGCTTAGTTTTGCCTTGGGGGCTTATCCCATGTGTAACTAACTGCCTAGAAATACCTTCGACTAAAAAAAGTATATGTTACTAACTACCTCATATACAATGTCTGTCTAGATACTTTAGCAATTTCTGCGACGTTTCCCAAAGATAAATTTCCTGTCTTCTTGCACTGCTTGCTAGGCCAGTTTGCAGCCTTTCATCTAAAACTCAGGAGAATTCATTAAACCTGTTGGTGGCAGAGACCCTGGGGCACAGTTGGTTAAGTGACAAGGAGGATGCTCCCAGTGGTAGGGACCTCTCTTAATCCAGTCATTTCCAATTTATTCTTTTTTCTCTGCTAACATCGATGACTGACTCAAGAAGCTTTACCATTATGGATTGTTGAATGGAGGCCTGGGTGCTGTGCAAAGCCACAACGGGCTTACATTTCTCCTGAACTGTGCTTCAGGATTCTGCTGCTGGCTCACGCTGAGTGCCACATGAGGAACAGCTGGGTGAAATTTCCTGTCAGGTTTCAGTTGTGCTTTCAGGATGTGCTTATTTATGTCACAAGTTATCTCCTTATTAGGTTTCTCAAGATATTTTTTCCCCACTGTTCTGTAATGAATGGTTATATTTCTGAGCACCTGGTTCGCTTTTATCTTATCTCGCCTGTACATTTTATAATTCCTTCTTTGCCTTAGCTAGTTGGAGTTTCAGAGCCCACTTTGCAGATCCTCTCTAGAAGTGTGTGGAGCAGCGCTATCCAATAGAAATGTAATGTGAGCCACATATGTAATTTAACATTTTCTAGTAGCCACACTAAGAAATATAAAAAGGGGGCAGGGGCACACCAGTAAAGTAATTTTAATAATAATTTTATTGAATCTAAAATATCACTTAAACATTTAATCAATATAAAAATTATTACATTTTCCTTTGTTACACTGAGTTCTTAAAGCCACTTGTCACTTCAGACTAGCCACATCCAAGCACTCCCTAGATGTGGGGCTGTCGAGTGGGAGTGTGCAGGACAGTGCAGAATTGATGGCCCCCAAAGGTACAAGCCTTCCCTTGGATTTACTTTCTCTCCTCCACCCATGTTTTCCTTTCTTAATGTTCGCACTTGTGTGCACACTAAGAGATTAAAAACAAGCATATTTACAAGCCACCTAGAATGATGCGCTTTGAAACAAGAAATGTTTTTCCAAAGGTGTTGATGACGAGCTGAATGGAAATACACTTTCGGGCACATTAGTTTGCAGGATGCCGGGAGGATGGTGTGTTTTTTAATATTTCTCCTTCTTTTGAGCGGGGCTAGGCTGCTTATTAGTGACTGGGCAGAGCGTGAGTCTGCACATCTTAATTCATTCATTTTTCTTGGAGAAATTCAAGGAACATGAGACAGAAACAGACAGAGAGAAGCAGAGACAGTCAGTGGTGAAAACCGGGCCTCCCACAGTCGGTTAATTCGAAGAATGTTTGTTTCCCTTAAGGCTTTAAGGGAAGATTTCAGGTTTTTGAGAGATTGTCCTAGATTGTCTGGTGGTGTCCCAGATTTCTTTCTTGCTGGACTGATAGTTGGAGTTTAATTCTAAATGCACATCAGCATTAATTGAGCAGCTCCCACCAATCACTTCACCTTCGCTTGCGGGAACAGCGGTAGCTCCTGCCCATGCAGCGTTGCCCGAGCCCAGACCAGGGTGCAGGAGACCACCGCCCAGTCGCTGGGTCTGCGTGCTGGACTTTGTGCAAACTTGCTGTACATGTTGACAAGCGAGCACAAGAACATGACTTTGGCCATGGAGAATTTTTTGTTCTTTGAATGATCTCATGTGTTTATCTTTCACTTTAGCTGGTATAAATGGATGCTTTTGATGTACTTAACTCTTGGTAGAGTTAAACATCCCTTCTCATTACTCCTCCGTCACTTAAAATCATATTTAAGAATCCTTAATTTTCTATCAAATATCTTGAAAAACAAAAACATATGACTGTATCTTTCTTTACATGTATAGATTTAGTTTTTTAAAAAAGAAACAAAATGTATCAGTGGAGGAGAAAAAGCCAGAGTCCAAAAGCAACTATTTTTATTTTGTCGTATGCCTTTCTGGCCCTGTCTGTAAGACACATAGAGGATTTCGTAGCCTGTTTCGTTTTCGACAATTTACTTGCTTATTCATTAGGAGAAAAGCTAAGCTTTAAGTACTCCACTTCTAATTTTATATGAGCAATAAATTGGTGTAAGTGGATGGTTCTTTTGAAAGAACAGGGGAACCTTACTCATAAAATCAGCTGTTGTTACTTGATGTGAATAGGCATGTTTTTTTGACTTTTTATATTTAGAAAACAACGATGTATTGAAGTCTACTACTTATTCTTGTTGTCAGCTATTACTTAGGCATCCTTTCTTTCCTGAGTATAAAGAACAGTCCCTCCTCATGCAAAACTTGGTCTCTGCACAGATCACATCAAATCTAGATTGTCTGCCTCCCCCTGCCCGCGCGCGCGCGCGCACACACACACGACGTAGGTACTTAGAAGACTGCTGTGTGTGTATAGGTAGATGTCTCCAAAAGTTTAACTGTTCTCATTGTTTTTGCTGTACTACTTTTTCTATTTTGCCTGTACGATTATGTTTCTAAGAGTTTACTCTGTTATACTACCATCATAGGGTGAAGCAGAAAGAGACCATGATAGCAAGAAAGTCAGACTGGAGAAAGAAATCAAATCACAATCTTCATCTTCATCCTCTCACAAGGAATCTTCTAAAACAAAGTGAGTATAGAGATTAGGAACAGCCTAGAAAGGTGATCGAGTCTTCCTGAGTCTTGACATGGCAAAAACGTTTTTGTTCTGCAGTAGAATGAGTGGATTAATAAACTCATTCAGGATCATTTGGATGTTGTGGTAAGTTTGTTTCATACTGCTTTCATCCATGAGGACCTTATAGAAATTAACAATTCATTTGGCAGCAAACTTGGATTTATCAAAAACATTTTAACAGTGGAACATTTCCTAAACACCTGGAATTGACTTCTTTATAAAGGAATTTTTACATAAGGATAAAAGAGATGCTATTATTATCTCTACGTTGCAGAATTAGAAACCAAGACGCAGAAAATGACTTGTCCAGAGTTACAAAAAGTAACTATTATTCACTCACTGATTTGTTCAAGAAATTGCTTCACAAAACGATGTGGCAAAAGCAAGTGCATAGTGTTACTGTGAAAGGGTTTGAGAGTGAGAGAAGGAGTCAGATGTGAAGGTGGCAGCTGGGCTTGCCTGCTTGTGGAAAGGGACAGGTTAGGGAGCCGCTAATGCAAACAGACTTGCTTAGGGAAGGTTAGAGCCACTGGCAGACTCCACAAGCTCAGTGACAAATCATACAACTTCATTTATTACTCATCAACAGGACTGGATTTTTCAAAGGCATCAAAAGTCCCTGAAATTTGGCCTTTCTACAAAAAAAAAATGGGCTTCACAGTTTGTGGTATCTTAGTCTTTTGTGTCAGCAGCCATAGTGTCCTTTTAACTAAACGACTAAGTTATGTAGTTCGTGTTCTACCTTAGTTTCATATGATGTTTCATTCCAGACCACCTAGGCCCTCCTCTGAGCCCTCAAAGAAGGACATGCTTCCCCCTACACTTGTGTCATCCTCATCCTCATCCTCCCAGAAGCCAGCCAAGCCTGCACAGAAGAGGCCACGACGGGAAGCACACCCTTGTGGCCAGGACCCTCCCAAAAGTGCCAGTAGTACCAAGGGCAGCCATAAGGACTCTCCCGTCCCCAAGCGCAGAAAAGCAGAGGGGAAGAGTTCTGGAAGCTCTACAGAACACAAAGTAAGTAGGGGAAGCCTCAGTTTTGTGAAATGGGATATATCGATGTGTGTCTTTACTTGAAACTCCCAAATAGGTTAAGTTCCTAACAATGGTACTTCAGAGCTATTCATCAGTTTTAATAAGGCAATAATGAGTTGTTTGTGTATAAAATTCTGCTCTTCAGAGGAAGAGTAAAACATAGTTAGCAATGCATGAACATTTAGGTGTCAGTTTGCTCTTAAAGTGATTCAGAGGTGAAAAATCAGATGTTTCGTGTTAATTTTCTCTCAGGTGTTTTGTAGTAATAAATGGTTATCCTGGTTAGTTGTTGGTTTGAATATTTGATCTCATACTTTCATTATTGATTATGATGGGAAAAAGTTATCCACTTTTCTCAAATGCAAGTTCCTGGCTTCCTGTTAACCTGGGTGTGTGTATATTAACTAAAAAGAAAATGTTACGTTTATCTTTGTCATTATCTGTTCTCCTGAACAGTTTTGTCTTATATGTTTTTGAGTCTCCACTGTAATCGGAACCTACAGTTTCAGTTAAATCTAGCTGAAGTGCCTGACTAAGCTAAATTATGCAGTGTTTGATTTCCTCTTTTTTGAATTATTTTGGACTAATTCAAAGGGATGGTACATTTAGGTCAATGATCTTAAATGTTAGAGTGTGATCTGTATAATGATTTTTTAAAGGGATCTTCTGGAGACACTGCAAATCCTTTTCCTGTGCCTTCTTTGCCAAATGGTAACTCTAAACCAGGGAAGCCTCAAGCAAAGTTTGACAAGTAAGATTTTGGATGCTCACTTCTTATTTATTTGCCTGTTCTTTCTTCCTCCTTCCCCCTCCTCCTCACTTCCTTTTCCCCTTCTTTGCCTTCTTTCTCTTCTTTGCCCTCCTCTCCTCCCATCGTTTTTCACCCTCTGAGTCTTCTTCAGTCATCTCGCGTCAGTCTAGTTATTTTAGGTTCACATGACCCACCCCGATCTTCTCTTCCCTTTCAGACAAGCAGAGCTTCACATGAAGGAGGCGAAAAAGTTGAAGCAAAAAGCAGAGTTAATGGTCAGTCTTAGCTCTTTATTCCTTTGGTAGAATGTTTTCTGGAAAAATATTTGTTATCTTATTCTACTGTGTCCAGACCACTAAATATATTGGGGCGGGGGTTTTGGGGGTGGGCAGTGGCAGGAGGGAGGAGTATGACACTGACCATAACATAAGCAGGATCTTGAGTGAGGGGTAAGGGATTCTTAGTGAAATTATTATGATTTTTTTGACTCCATTAATTGGTCATGGGAAAATATACAAAGTACCTAGTCACAAGTTTTGTATCTAAATGAGTGAAAGTTGATCTACCATGTAGTGTTTTATTTAATACACGAGTGCATCCTGTCCCACTGAATTAGTTCTTTGGGTATGAAAAACGGATCCTGCTATTGAAAGTTACTCTATTTGTGTTTAACCTGAAATATTTGAAAGGTGAGGTAGCCTATTTGCATTCCAGAATCATCTTAGAGCCCTTGAGAGACTAACGTGAGGGAATCCTAGACCAAAGCCATTAGATGAAATTTTAAGATGAAGGCAACGATTGCACCGTTGTCAAACGTGCTTTAAAAAAAATGAACTGTTTCTACCTGGTGGCTGTTGGACTTTCTGGAAGGCGATGGTTTTGTTATTAATTGCATACGTAATTAAATGTGGTTTCACATCTTTGCTGCTACAATATAATTAGTGTTTGCTCTTTGTCATATTTAAACATCTAAACTTAATGTATTCTCGAAAGCTAAACTCCGGCAAATACCATGTGTTGAACGTACCACAGAAGAAGAGTGTGGGTTGCCTTTATTTTCCCACATGCAAACCTATCCACACACTCTACAGGCCCATAGGGCTCTGAATCAGATCTGTGCGTGGCAGACATCAAGATCGGCCTGGTGCTCGTAGCCCCAGTCTGTAGACTGACATCTGTTCTCAGACGGGCTAGGGAGGGCTGGGCTGAGACCCTTTTTTATCAGGTCCCCATTCACTGGAGCAAAATGTTTATTGAGTCCTCACCATGCTGGATTTTGTAAGGGGATCAGCGACAACCCTCCATAGTCCTGTCTCTAAAGCCACGTGGTACCAGGATGATCTGAATCAGATTAAGAGGACTAAGACTGTGACAAACAATGGTATCTTTTCAGCCTTCTTCCTTCCAACTTTTCAAGGTTGTTGCTAGGACTGTATGAATCTTTTGAGTTCTGAAAAAGAGTAAATATTCAGTTCTTTGGCAGCCAGTTATGTAAAACTTATCTTTTGACATTGGACACTTTCAGCCTTAGATTCCTTCATTATTCAAACAAGTAAGTATTCTACAGGGAACTTTGTTTTGCTTTTAATCTGTATACATGCGCATCTTTTTTTCTCCCTACCTAAGCCAGCCACACATCCCATTGACCCAAGACAGTCCTGATCTATGCCTGTTGCAACCCATTTTAATAAATAATAATGTTTCATTTCAGTCTCAAAATGTGCCAGTTTGGACAAAAACCTGAATGGCCAGCCTCTTTGCGATATTATCCTTTAATTGCACAGTGTCTCAAAGGTGTCCATTTCACATTCCAAATAGTTAAGTACACAACTGAATATAGAGAAGTATATTTCACCTCTACATTATGCTCATTGTCGAGTAGGGAAATAACTCTGATACTTTCACACAGTCTCAGGAGCTACATGGGGAGTTTATCACAGGTATATTTGCATTATTAGCCTTACAGCTTACTTAAGGAGGTGAATATTGACAGATAGTGTTACTGTAGTTTCTTCTGTTTATGCCCTAAGGCAACTATGAAATTTGGAAATTCGGTGAAAGATATGGTAGTGAATAAATAAATTCGAAGAGTTAAATCCCCACCAGTAAAGCAAACCAGAAAGGCCCTGTACTGCTGGTTAATTGGGCCATGCTAATTTGATTTTTTTTTTCTTTTTGTCACTATTTTTCTGAGCCTAGGAAAAAAAAAAATATTTTAAAGTCAAGTTATTTAAAAAAAATTAGTAGCCTTAACTTTCTTTCTGATATGTCACTATCTTTTTATACTCCAGTCTTTACTGTATCATTCTCTTTTTTTTTGTTGAACATTATCAAATTGAAAGCATTAGCAGAAACTACAGACTTACACATGTATTTATCAGTTGCTCTTACAATGCTGTGCATCTGCCACGTGTAGGAAAGAAGTCGAGGCGCTTCTCAGTCTCAGTGAATTAGCTGCGTTCCACTGACCGAGAAGACCGTTGAGGGATAAAATGTATATTCAGGTTTAGGTGACTACCAGTATCAGATTTCATTTTTATTTCTGTGTTCCCTTTAAGAGTCTCTGCAGTTTTATCCTCAGTTGGCCCAGGGGATAGCCTTGTACACTTAACTCAGACTTCCAAAGGAGATTACATAATTTGTTGAGCTCTAAGATAGCATGAAACAATTATTGTTTGACATAGTATCTAAGATGCTCATGAACCATAATGTTTTCTACTTGTTATAAGATAAACTTCAAAACATACAAAGAAACTTGTGTCTGCATTACTCTAGATGTATAGAGATGAATATTCCTCAGGAAAATTATTTGAGTAATTGCACACTAATAACAAGGGGACTGTACTCATTGCCTTTATTTGAATATGTATTTTAATAAGATTTCGAGAGTATGGTCTTAATGCAGGATTATTTTCTTTTTCCTACTGAATTTGTTCTAAAAGAACATTTCAGTAGGTCAGCCAACAGGCTTTGGTCATCATTTTGGTTTGTTTTGTTCTTGCACTTCTCTGTAGCCATAATTAAACTGTGACAGCAGAGGAAAGTTGTAAAGGATGTGGCTGTGTGTCTCAGGCCTAACAGTGACCATGTTCTTTTCCTACAGACAGACAAGGTTGGGAAGGCTTTTAAGTACTTGGAAGCCGCCTTGTCCTTCATTGAGTGTGGGATTTCCATGGAGTTGGAAAGCCCAGCGTCCAAGTCAGCCTACTCACTATACTCTGAAACTGAAGACCTCATTAAGTAAGTGGCAGGTCATTTTGCCATTCTCGTAAGTACTTCTCTTTCCTCACCTTTATTGCTGTAATCCACTTGAACCCTAGTATGAAGGCAGCTTAGTAAAGGGGAGCCTTAAAAAAGATACTGATCCAAGAACTTTTTTTTTTTTTTTGTCCTGAACTGAAATTATATTCTAGGTGAATGCTAGGACAGAGAAGTTGGATCCAGCGACCTCATTTGCCAGGTGCACTGTGAAATGCCAAACCTTTCAGAGAGAGGTTGGTTTTTCCAGTTTGGCTTTCTTATCAGATGCACTCTCATCTCAGTTTTACCTTCCTTCCTTATCTGCATTTCAACTGGGCACTCAAGTCAGGACATAAGTCTGCTTGGGGTCAAGTTAGTGGACAGGCCAGCAAAGAGACACGTTCTCACTGGTTTTTTGAATGGCCCGAATTGTTGCTCCAAAGCCTTATTTTTTTCCTACATTGCTCTCATCTTCACATCTTCAGGATAAATCGATATAAAACCAAGACAAACATAATAAGATGTCTTTGTGTCAGGGATTTTCCAACTGCTTTTATTTAACCCGGATCTATTTTTATATTTTCTATAGGTTCATAATGTCATTGAAATCCTTCTCAGATGCCACAGCACCAACACAAGAGAAAATATTTGCTGTTTTATGGTGAGTACTTTTTTTGTCTAAATGGTGTCACATTTGTTTTTGTATCTTTTGATGTTACAAAGAGATTTTGAAATTTGTTTACTTTGCATGAAAATTCCAGTGAAAGGTGAATCAGTAAAAGATTAAAGTCAAGGGTTGATTGCACTGAGAGTTAAAATTATTATGAAATGGCACCTACTGCCATTTTACTGATGACTCAGTAAGTGCTTTAGTCCTGTGACTTAAGTGATATCCTTGTATTTTTGTATTTTCTACCAATATTTAGTTCCGATGCCAGTGAACAGTGCAGTAAGAGTCTTAAGATATTCTTCCTCATGCAGATGAGGAAAACTCAATGTGTTCATTAGGCCGTAGAAGATTAGTTGGCTTCTGCAGTAGTGACGCTCATGCCTGCAAGGTGATTCTTCATTTTAACGTCTGTTTTATGTTCATAGCATGCGTTGCCAGTCCATTTTGAACATGGCGATGTTTCGTTGTAAAAAAGACAGAGCAATAAGGTATTCTCGTACTCTTAATGAGCACTTCCAGAGTTCTTCCAGAGTTGCCCAGACACCTTCTCCATGCATTGCAAGGTAATGATGAGCTAATTTAAATAAATTCCAATATTGGTTCATTATTTACCATTTGGATATACATGTGACTTTGGCTTTTCAAAAATTCTATATGTGTATGTGCTTATTTGCTCCTTCAACTTAAATCATTTGCATCTTTTAGTCTTTTCAAGGAATATTTATAAATCAAGGTGCTTGCTGATTGGGTAACAAAATATAATTGCAAAGACTACAGGGTCAAAATGTTAGAGCTTTGAAGATCCTTAGCTATGCCTAAGGACACAAAACAACTAGAGCCAGAGCCAACAGAACCAGAGCCAAAAACCCTTTTCTATTTACACGGCATCTTGGCGTTTCAGCAAATAACAACTCTCCAGACCATAGGCCCTCCATCTTCTGCAGGATCCATAACAGTGACATTAAGAACATAAACGATCATCTTTAGTTAAAAATTTCCCCACTTTGTAAATTGAAATTGTTCATCTGTGCCATAAGATGTTGAAAAACAGGATCCTTAGAATTTTCTTCTCTGTAGTAGCTGCCTAATATTTTTTAAATTTGGTCATACTTCATGACAAGTTCCTAGTTCTGATAGGTTTTGCTGTTTTGAGATTATCACCTAGAAGATTGCCCTGTTTCCAGCACATTCAAAAGAAGAGACACCTATATGGCCTCTCTTAAAAAAAGTCCTGAGAAATAACTTTTCACCTCTGAAAATTTTCATGACTCCCACCTCTGAGATATTATTTTAAGTTAATACATCGTCAGTCACATTATTTTGGATAACTCCATTAGCATTTGTCCAACCAACATAGACCGAGTCCTTTCTTTGTACCAAACCTTGTTTTAGGTCCAGGGGATACAGCAGTAAACAAAGTAGACGAGACTCACTGCTGTTGTGGAGCTTCACTCTAGTCCTTCAAATTGTGTGTGCTGCTGGGGACACTTAGGATTCATGCAACTCAAAGAGCAGGTTACTGCAACTCTCATTACGAGGTTACTGCTGCTGACCTATTTTTCCATTTTATATCCAGTAGGCCTAAGTGATTTCACTTGTGTTTCTCATTTTATCCACCTCAAGGCACTTGTTAACTTGCATGTACTGGTATATAGTCAAGAAGAGAGTAGAGGGAAGATTATGAATCCCCTGATACATGATGCTTCCTCACCTGGTCTCCTCGTAGGCTGTTTTACTGCATTCAGTCATTGATTCAGCAGATATTTATCAAAAGCCTACTCTTTGCACCTACTCTGCTAAATGCTAGAAATGCAAAGATTAATAAGAAATGGTGCCTGCCTTCAAGATGCTTGTGACTCAGGAAAAGGAATAAACAGAAAAGTATAATGGAATGTGAGAAATGCAATAGACAAGCTAATAAATAAATGCAAGGAAACAAAGTCAGTGGCAGAAAGGAAGCCTTGATGTCGCCCAGGCGTCTGGAAGAGTGCCAGGGGCAGAGTAGGTGCCCTGCTACTGTTCATTGAGTGGACGAAAGAACGAATATATAGGTGATTGGGACTGCCTTCACAGGGCAGCACTGTCTTCCTAGGAGAAGTCGGAGTAGGGGTGAGGAGAGGAAGGGACTCCAGGCCTAGGGAGTGGGCGATGTAAACAGCCTGGGAAAGCGGGTTGGGGATACAGACTTGCCCACCTGATTCTATGCCCAGTGAAGGATGCCCAGCCTCCATCTAGTTATTCTTTCCGTTTGCTGGGTCCCCTCCCCCTGTATTTTATGGAATAAATCCAGAAATACTGAGTGAAGGGCATTTTTTCCTGTCTGTTGGACCTTATAGGAGTGATTGTCATTTTGGCTAGTACACACCGAAACTTCGCGACCTGGCCTATAGTTCCAGAGACAGGAAGTCTGTAATCTGGAGGTTTTGGTGATTAATCAGTTCTTCCTTTTCTTTCGCCTTTCAGAAGCACAGGCACACCATCCCCCCTCTCTCCAGTGCCTTCTGCCAGCTCCGTAGGGTCCCAGTCAAGCGCTGGCAGCGTGGGCAGCGGGGGCATGCCTGCCGCCATCCAAAACATGACGTCTTCCTATATCACCGTTACTTCCCACATCCTTACCGCCTTTGATCTTTGGGAACAGGCTGAGGTCCTTACAAGGAAGAATAAAGGTAAATGGCTCTGGTGGTAATCACCGGGGCATGGCGCCTGGCAGGGAATAGCATCATTTGTATTTTATGTTCATTTCTTTGAAGAGAAGGAAACGTGTAGTTATTTGTTCTTAAATTTTCTCTATTCTGCCTCATAACCTAGTCGTAGTTCTTTTTTGAGCTCTGTGGCATGGAGCTGACTTTCTTTGGCTAGATTTTAGCAAAATTAAATTAGAAGTGGCTTCAGCACCTTCACAAGTTCGGGCATCATCCTTCCAGCCTGAACTGAAATGCTAGCAAAAGGGCAGGGCAGATGAAGAAAGGAAGTCACTGGCTCTCCCGAGGCTCAGCAAGTTTGGGATATGAAGTAGCATAACTTCACTACAGAGTTTGTTTTCATTGTATGTTAAGAAAGATAGTTAGCGACAGTACAAGAAATATGGCATAAGTAAACATTCTTAAAACTTGTGTGAGGAGTGGTTCCGTAGAGTAGTGATTAGCACATCTGCTTTACACGCAGAAGGTCTTGGGTTCCAGCCTCAGCGGAGCCACAGCCCATACCCCGGGTGCACCAGGCCCCCGGTTTGCGCCACGAGCGCGGGAGGAGACGCGCCCCACCTTCAGAGATCCAGTTCTTAAGGGGAGACGGCAACATTCATAGGTCAGGGGTGGAAGGGGTGGAATTTAAAAAAAAAAAAAACTTGCGTGAGAAGAAGGCCCTTGGAGAAATCGAAGGTTTAGGAGATGGTGGAGCATGCTGTTAGAGGAACTGCTCGGTATGCGTGCCAGTGACCACTGAGTAAATACTTATATGTAAGTACTGGTTTCATGCTATTACATATTTTTTCCTGGCCGTAGCCACTTAACTACCTCACAGCCTCTTAGAACTTTCTTAGCAAACTAATGATGCTTTGCTAGGCATTATGGATTCAACTCTGAAATAAAACCCATAGCAAGCCATAACAGTAGATTGTAATTTTTTGCTCTGGTACATGAAGTACAGAATATTGTGGGGATTGTTTCTGGGACCTTGACTTCTTGTTTCCATTTTTATTTTTGTGCGTGCAAGTATGTTCACTTGGTTTGCTTTTGCTTTGTTTGCAGAGTTTTTTGCTCAGCTCAGCACAAGTGTGTGCACCTTGGCCCTCAACAGCAGTTTGACGGATCTGGTGCACTACACAAGACAGGGCTTTCAATGGCTAAAACAAGGAACCAAAATACCTTAACAAAGCCCCAAGTTGATTTCATGTCTTGGGAACTTTTTTGCACATTGGAAGCCTGAGAAACAGTCCAGACATTTGTCTTATCAGGACACGAAACTTGAGAAGAGAAGCACCATGAGATGGCCAGGACATTTGTCCACTTAAACTCTCAAGAACTGTGTGATCATTGGTTACGCAGGATGGTTATGCAGACGCAGAAACGAGGAGGCTGGCTTCAGAGATGATCTTGCCTTTCCTAACTAAAGGACGGAGTGCAATGTAGCCTAAGAGGGGCATATGATGGTCTAGAAACATTTCTGTATTTTTTAACCAGCAGGATGCAAGTCGCAAATGAAATGAGGGAAAACAGTTTCAGCTCTGAAAGCAAATTCACGTCATCTCAGTAGCCACGCTAGTCCATTCCCAAAAGGAAATATTTTTAACAATGAATTTTGGTGTAGGGTTTTGTGGATGATTTTTTCTTTCTTTTAAGTTTTTTGGGGAAATATTCGTTTGGTAAATTCTAACAGTCATCTGTAAAACATAAATTGTAAAAGACTCCACTGTACCCCACTCTCTGCCATTTGAACAGTGGCTTTGATAATACCAAGTATTGTCATAATTTATAGAATTGAAGGCAGCCACCCACGCCCCGCCCCGTGCCTGGAGTGCTGCACGTTCACCCCAGCTCTGGCTTCTTCATTACTGTGCTGAAAGTCGGCCCAAGTCGGAACAGCGGAAAGAGGAGCTCAGCACACGGGGAAGCCACGGGGGACGTGGCGCTGCCGTTCCCACCCCCTGCCTCAGCAAAAGGCATTTGCCATCAACTGAATTTTCTACCTTGGGGAAGAAGGGAATCAACGTTTATACGTGACCAGTTGGCTAAAGGGCTTTTTAATTTTTGTTTAAGTAGAGCTGGAATTTGAGGTGCTGATCTGTGGTCTACAGTTATGTGGTAATCCATGTTGTCTAACCAACTCAGAGTTTGTCAGCGAACAAAGAAAAATTAAATCTACTTCTTAGAGAGGCTATATTTTTCTGCTACAAATTATTTTATATTTATAGCGAAACTAGACTTTTCAGAGCCCTTGATTGTCTAGGGGAAATTAACTTCCAGAGAGGATGTGGAGATTTGGGGTGGTGAATTAGATTAAAAAAAAAAAAAAATCATCACCACATGCCTTTACTCCAGAGTGTTCTCAATCAATTAGATTTGACAGATTGAAGAGGAACCGTGGCCTTCCTATAAGTTGTTATTGCCATGTTATATACATTAAACCAAGTTTGTTTTGAATGAGCTAAAATGAAAGAACACATCAGAATTCCTACATATCATAAGCACAGATTTTCTTTTTCATTGATACTTTGAAGTTATTATCGGAAGCATTATTTCGAGTGCAGTGTTTTTAAAAGCCAATTCTTTTTACCCCTTTTAGAAGTAGAGTTTGCACATGTAATAAAATTGAGGAGTATTATCTCGACAATTGGATTATTTTTCTTCTTCTTTCATCCCCTACTGCCCCTCTAACATGTTTCCTACCAAGCATGTTTGACATTTTCCTATTTACTTACTAGCGAAGAAGGGATTACCATCTTTATTTATAATGAAGAAGTCTGAGGTCCATGTGATGAATGTAAGAACTTTCTTAGTAATTTGGCAAATATATAAAGGGATATGTTGAAGATGGGAGTGATGCTTGTTTTTCACAGTATGAATCGTGTGAAGCTCTTACGTCAGTGTCTTATCCAGCCTGTTCTGTTGTCATCACTACTTAGGGCAGGGGTCTGTTACTTTATATTTAGGTTAAAGCCAGAGAATTACAGCAGGAGTAATATCTGAGCATAAGAACTTCACGTGTAAGCTTGATGGACCAATTTCATTTATTGATGTTCTAAAGCAAAAAGTCTTGGTCCTTTTTAAATTACTCATTTAGAAAGCAGCCTGTCGTTAAATGAACAGTAATTGTCTGGCGGGTTGTGTGCTTGTGGCATCGAGTGTCCATCTCTTATATGTAGGAGACACCAGAATCAGGCTTATGTAATTATTTAACGTCTTTTTATCTTCCCCTTATTCTCTGGGCCATTTCTGCACCCCCCCCCTTTACCTCACCGCTCCCCAGTATAAGCCACCTGTTAATTTGGAGGAATGTGTTCTTTGGAACGGGTTCTGATCTATGCAGATAGTGCCAGAGTGGGTGTGTGTCCTGTCAGCCAGCCACAGCGCGTCCGTGACCACGGGCACTTCCAACTCGATTTCTTAGCCAATTCTAAAAGAAGTGATGCTCTTTCAGTGGCCTTATTGTTTTTTTCTTTCCCCTGACCTTTATATTAAAATCTTATTTATCCCTTGGAAAAACTAATGAATTTGCAGAGATCAGTTTGTACTATTTTGATCATGGACTGTTTCTGATTCATACTGCAACATGCATTATACCTAAAAGAATTGCTAATACCTACTTTTTAAATAGAGTATGTAAAAGGTGGTGGCTGATGAGTCCCTAATGTTCATAAGATCTTTTTGCTGTTACAGTTGTATATAGAAATCAAAAGGCTTTTTAAATCATTTGCACTTTTTCACTGCATGCTTAAAGTCCCAAAGGCAAAATTTGTGCTGAAAATTGAAAGGACTAGATTATAAAATTAAGCCTTTGACTATGTGACGTTCTTAAAACAGTAATAGTACACACTTCACAGTGAGACAAATACAAAACATCTTGTGAAAATTGAGTATAAAAAAATCTTGCCTTTGGCACTACAGTTTGTGTGTGTGTGTGTGTGTGTGTGCGTGTGTGTGTCCTTGCTAGGAAGTGGAAAAACACTGTTTTACTTATAAAAATGTTGAATGTTTCTGTTCTTTCTGGAGATAATTAAAATGTGAATCATTGAACTTGAGGTTTTAGCCAGACTAAGGGCCTTGCTAAACAAAGAAAAACATGTACTGGAATTTACCAAATTACACTGGGTTAAGAATGTGAAAACATAGGCCGCATACTAGCCGTGGTGAAGAGTTGCAGTGTCTAGTAGGCATGTTGTCAGGACTGGAACTACAATAGAATGACTTATCTGATATTATGATTTAATCACAACACCGAATGCCAAAAGCATCTGATCTCTTTGAACAAAAGAGCCTTTATTTTATAGATCTGTTTTGACCAAAATGTTTTAGCTATTTCCCTTAGACAAATTGGATCACACTTATCTCCCTTGTTCTATATCCTTTAATTCCAGAACTCAGGATGTTTAGAAGCTAAAAAACCACCCCTTCCTGGCTAAAAACTTGCTTTAATTGGTACCTTAAATATTGTAAAGGTCAGGAGCTTACTATTTTATTCTGATTCCTGTTCAGTATTTTTAGCAGTAAAAAGAAACCATCGTACTCTCCAAAGTAAACAGAACTCTTAGCATTGATATATGAAGGGAGATAGATGTGTACGTTTACATAGATACGCACACAGAATAAGACGTGGGTTGAATTGGATATATTTCTTGTGCTTTTTGTTGTCCGAACCTACTTTTGGAATAATGCTATATTTGTTTTGCTATGGCTGTAAGAGATGTTATGTGAGTCTTGCACCTTTTGCTCTTCTGCTTCAGGAAGTTTAAGATGTATTTATGCATCTTAAGGTAACTGAATCAAATAAGGCTTGATCCCCTACCTCCTACCACAGATTCTACAAAATTTTTTCTTCAGGATTTATTTTCCCAGACACTACACAAAATCTTTGAAAAAACTTTGCCACTTCATTTATTATACTCTTTACCACTGATGAGCAGTATTTAAATTTTGCAAGAATATTTGGGCTTCTTTTTGAAACACATATGAAAGTTTGCTCACTGGGAAATGAGTTCTGCATTGTGACTGTGGAGGGGTGTCGGTCGGAGTCATGGCGGTACTGGCTTCTTTCTTCCCTTTCTCTAGTGGGTCGCCACTTTTGTTTTTAGTCCTGTTGAGAGTTTATGGATGTAAGGTTTTTCTGTCCCCCTCCCCCCCTTTTTTTATGTCATTTTCTTTGCAGGAGGTGAAATGGCAGAATAGCATCATATTGGGGATTTTCTTCAAACAATCCAAGTGGTACTTCTACCATATAAATCTCAAATATGCAATCTCGTCGTGTTGGTCTCTCAGTGACCGAGAATGAATTGTGACCACTGGCCATGTTCCTTAGTTTTTATTTATGATGAGTTGACAAGCACCATCCGCCACCTTTCTCAAGGTGGTGGGGCGGGGGGCAGGGGCGGCGGTGAGATCGCACTATATTCTGTTCCAGTGTGTGTCAGATATCAACAGGTACTGTGATGCCTAGAGAAGTGCTTTTATTTCTCTACCCAAGAGGGCAGGAAGGAAACATACAGTTCTCTGTGAGCCCAGATATTACTGTATTGGCCTAGAAGGACGAGGGAATGAGACCATGGACAGTGAGGATGCTTCTTAGGCAGTGGCTGACCTAAGAAGGTAACTTGCTTTGTGTAAAAGTAGATGTTTAAGCGATGCTTAACAGTGACAGTATTGACTTCGCCTTTTGTTCAGGCCATCGGCATGTACCCTTAAAATTACTGCACACCCCCCGGAAAACAAGTGTACACTGTTCTTGTCGTGTGTGTGTGCGTGTGTGCGCGTATGTCCCAAATCTGGTTTTAATTTTTTTCTTTTTGTCTGAATGTGATGTTTAGGATGATACCTGAGCAGGGTTGCCTTTTTTTTTTATTTATTACCATTATATATTATATTATATTATATATTTTTTGCTTTCTTAAAACTTTAGAGATTTAGTCAAATCTTGGTATTATTAAAATTGTTTTAAAAAGGAATAAGTTGTCCAGTTGATAAATGAAGATCACTGGTTTATCTCTAAAATAATATGAATTTTTCTTTAATTATTGTGGTGTAATGTGCCAGCTGTCTAGTCCACACAATGATTTTGTTTGTAGAATAGGGAAGGAGTGATGCTCTCGATGGGAAGATGTGCAACACAAATAAAGGGGACTCCATGTATTTTATCTTCTTCAGTAATGGAACTGAAACTTGGGGCTTTTGTGAATAAAATATAGCTGCCTTGTATAGTCCTTGGAAAGAGATGTATGTGATCTGTGAGAATTATAGTTTGGTTGGTTTTTTTTTTTTGTTTTTTGTTTTTTTGTTTTTTTTAGAAGAAAAATTTGCAAAAGATCTTTCCAAAGAGAATGTGCCACAGATCTTTTGTTTGTTCTCTATAATGAGGATTAATTGCTGTAAAAAAAAAAAAATGTAATTGATTTGTTCACCTTCAAATGCTTTCCTTTTCACAAGAGGATAGAGCTGTAAAAAAAAAAAAAAAATTAATAAAAATTTAGAGACATCATTGGAGTTGAATCATGTTTCCATTTTGCCTGAATAAAAAAAAAAATTCCTAAAATCACTCTATTAATTACCATTTACAGCCAAGGAGTCTCCCATGGAATGATGCACTCTGATTCACAATATGTATTTATTGTTGAAATGGGAAAAGTATGGGTAGAGGGTAGCTCATCCTCCTGTTCAGTTTATTTTCAAAACCTTAATATACACAAATAAGCCTGATATCACCAGTGTGGCTTTTTATCCTTTTTACGTCAACTGCCAGGTGCAACAGTGACCAAGTTTGCCTATTTTCAATTTGTTTGCTGCGTAGACATTTGTAGAATGAAGGTATTGAAAGGAATCTAAAGGCCATCTGGTCCTTTCCTCACTTTGCCACTCTGAAAGAAATACACAGTGGTTTTATATCAGAAAAAAACCTAACTTTCTGAATTTGAATCCTGGCTCTCCAGTTTGCTATGTGACCGACCTATCTGGGTTTCTTTTCTCATTTCTAAAATGTTGATTCGGTATCTACCAAGTAAAAGCAAGAATCACATTAGATATAATGTGTGGAGAACGCTTTAGCAAAATCGGTGGCATAAACACTCAGCAACTGGTGGCTGTTTTAATTTATTCCCTCCCCACTCCCCACAATATCCCAACACCTGACCCTCCAGCCTCTGACTGAACACTGATAAGACCTCACTACCCGCCTCTTCCTCTTTTAATTTTTTGTTCTTCCTTTCATTAGGGTGACCTCTACTTACACTGGTCCTAATGAACAAACAGGATCCCAGCCTCAGCAAGCTTGCAGTAAAGTTGTCAAATGGGCAGGGACTGGTCAGCACTCAATGCCAAGTGGGGAAAGGGAAGTGTTTCAGATTGAGAAGCTACAGGGAAGAGATTTCATTTGAAAGACGGGTCATAAAATCTGGGCTTTCATATTTTCACAGAAACTTTTCATGTCGTATCTCGTCTTACAAATTTTCAGAATTAGCTGTCCATGGTATGGTTGTGCCAGTTTACCCAACACCTTTGTAAGACATTTCTAATTTGGGAGTATTATAAAGAATGTGTCTGTAACCATCCCTGAAACAGACTATTTGGGCAGATTCAGCAATCAATATTTTACCCTATTTTCTGTATATAAATGTGTGCATGTGCATATTTATGCTGAATTCTATTTCACCCCTACACATTTTCTAGGATAGTTTCCAATATAACCACAACAATATCTACGAAAATTTCTCAACACCTAATATTCAGTCCATATTCAAATTTCTGCAATTGTCTTCCAAAGGTCTTTACAGCTTATTTTTAGAATCAGGATTCAGATAAGTTTCATGCATTGCATTTGGTTGTTATG